ACTAGGTGCGTTCTACATAGTCGCCCTGACAACAAGACCAAGTTGCGACAACGAGGTCAACCCACTTCTGAGGTTTACAGTTTGCAACTCTTTGAAGGCACATGTGCATTACTGAGGTGTAATGGAGAGTGGCTGTCAAAGTGTTTCGATAAATATGTAAGTAAAAGTTATCTACACGTTTCGAACAATATAGTCCGAGTGTCGGGGTGGCAACGTAAAAGCAAAATAAATGCTTTCTCCGTCTCTCACAGCACTTTTGAGGCAGGAAGATGAGATTTACGCACAACTTCCTGTATTCCTATAGACAAAGTCTAGATCAGACTATGCACTAATCAAAAGATAACAATTTCATAGGATAAATGAGGATATTTGACGATCACGATGCTGACTTGCAGGAAGATTACATTGCGGAGGTGATTGCAAAGGATGCGTTAGATTCATTCATACTGGACTCAAAAAATTGCTTCTTTATGCATTTCTGCCCTGTATTTATGTGTCAAAAGTGAATGGGACTAATGCCACTGAAAGGGTCCCATTCAAGCATGTTCCATATATTTTTACGCGTTAAGCTCAAGAATACAAGATTGATCATTTAAGACGAACTTGAGATAGATTCCATTTCCTCTCCATGAGAACAAAGCTCTCATAGCCACGTCTAAATCCTGTGTCTGGGGCGATAAAGACTGAGGATAGCGCAGGGTAGGGCTGGGAGAACCACCATATAAAGCCAACGAGACAACATGTGTAGTCTTCACTAAGTCTACCAAGGGTCGAAGAGTTATTGTGCCTTTTTATGCCTTCACTCGAAACGTAGCGCTTAATGCACGCTATTGCGTTTGAAAAGTTAAGCAACGTCTAAGAGGTAGGGAACGCCTTTTGAAGAGGGAGAAGAAAAATATGCTGTAAAAGCGGGGAAAACTGAGAACAAGAGGAGGAAAAATATCAGCACTAAAGGTGACAACGATGGGACGAAGGAAAAGCAAACATTAGCAGCCTTTGGTGGTATAAGACTAGAGCGTAGTTACCGTGATACAGGACAACTGAGCGCAATCGAGTAAGCCAACTTTATTTTTCGTCCAATACACAGACTGAAAATACAGGGCGCACGCACGGATTGCATGACGGAACAGAAGGCAAGATCTCGCTCTCCCATTGGGGAGGTCTAGGGCGAAGGAAGCGGCAGACAGAGTGTGAGGGAGGGGGACGGGGGTGTGAAAGCTATTGAGGTGGGGAGGCGGTGTAGTTTATCGGCCAGAGAGGAGAGCCGACAATGGCAGGGAAGAGGACCGGGCAGACGTCCAGTTGGCCGGGGAGACAGCCGGAAAGGTGGGCTTACAGACATCTCAAGGGGCTGGCTAAGAATACTAACTGAGCGTACGGGGTGAGGAAGTGTGGAGTGTGGGCTGCGCGAAGGCATGGAGGCGTCTGCAGATATGCGGAGAGGGGCAAGAGAAAATGTGGGATAACGCGCAGCACGGCCTGATAAGACTGTATGGGACTAAAGCAGAGTTGCCGTTAGTTCAGTCCGGGCGGGAGGGTGACGTTTGGTCAGCCATAGCATTGTGGGCAACTGGCCGAGAGGAGTTCACTTTGAGGTGCCGGGGTGGTACAGACGAACGGATGACTCGCAGCCTTTCGCTGCGAGAGGTCGTGATTGGAAAGAATACAATTTCCTGACTGTCTTTTGTTATGCGAAGAAAAGTTGCGTTCCAAGAAATCGCTTGTCTCATCATTTTTGAACTTATTCCCATTTCGTTAAAAGATTCGAAGGTGGAGCCCACCAGAAGAGAACGGCGGAATACTCTTAATCAGCTGTCGATTGGCCTTACTGGAACCTTTTCCGAGGCAATCCCCTTTGATTTCGGTGAAAACATGCCAAGAGCAGGAAGGGTATCATTCTTTCAACCATATTCAAGCTGATTCAAGAAGATCAACTAACAAAATCACTTAGTATCCAATCAAAGAGCTAGAAAAGAGAGTATATTTAAGGCATTGGGGGGTAAGCCCGTGAAGGAGATTGTCTCGGAAACGGCGTCAACAAGAATGTTCTAGTGGGTCAAAAGGAATTTGCCGTCGTCTTCTGGTGGGATCCATCTTCGAATTTCTTCACCAAGCACTTTCGCTTGAAATGGAAGTACGCTCAACAGTGGCTTTTACACTAAGGCTGATGCTCCATTCTTTAGTCTTCCAAGGAGTAGATGTGAAGCGTAGCTGAATTTCGATGAATCTGCTTCTACATGCACTTTAATAAGAAATGAAAATCTCTCCAACAATACCAAAGAGTACACGATGTGCTGTTTTTTTAACGACTCAAAACTTGGTAAAGGTAATTTCATGATCGCTTAAAACAGCTAGTGTTCCAAGCTTGACTGCCGCCACACCACTGATCCGTCTTGCATCAAAATAGACCCAGCAAACCATTGCATACAATAATATGATATACTCTGTGAAACTTAATTATAGCATGATATTTCATTCTATATGATATGCTGTGGCTAGCAAAAATGAATCATTCTTAAAAGGCAGTTTCACACACTCCTATGGCAGAGAGAATGTGAATTAGAATGGTAAGGCCTCCACATTCTTGGGTCCAAATACAGATTGGAAAGTATGGTTCAAGAGCTGAGGAAGTTACTCAACAAAAGTGCATCTGGCTATCATGCCTCGATCATAGACATCGCTTCTGCTAGCGTCGTGAAAGCGGGTGGTGGCCTTTCAGAATGATTAGAACGACAAGACACTTGAAATGGACTATTAAATTGGTTCCCATTTTGAATTATTCAAATCCAAATACTCGCAGGGATCTAGCGCCAGACTCAGAATTATACTTTCTGGATGAAGTGAAGGGCGGAATTCGTTAAGAATTTCGTGCTGACAGAAGATTGGATCTCGAAAATTAACTA